AGCAAGGAAACAACTCAAGGAGTGACTTGAAAAAATCCCTACAAATCTAGCTAGTGAGAGAGTGTTGGTGTGTGTGTGTGTGTGTGTGTGCTTGGAAGAAAAATCATAGAAAGAGCAGCCCAAGTATGTCGCTGAGTAAAAACAGGTTTCATTTGCTTTCCCTGGCCCAAAGCGCTGGAGTAGAAAAGGATTGGTGTCGGACCCCGGGCGACAGACGGTTACAACCAGGAGAGCCGGACCGAGCAGACGGCGGAGCCGAATTTACCTCGGGTGCAACCGGGACTTTCTGAAAATAGCCTCTCTCCTTTCCAAATATAATTCTCACATTTCCATAAACCTTCCCCCTAGCCTTTCATTTCTTATTGCGACGCAGTTGGAGAAACCAAACGCCCCCCACCCCCACCCCAACCTGCCCCGAAAGTGACACCCTAGTGCACAAGAGACACCGCCAACAACCGCGGGGCGGCCAGACACGGGTCTTTGGAGGTTGCTTTTTTTGTGTTAGTTTTGCTGTCAACAAGAAACGAGGAGCGCAAGGCGGGGGGAGATCAGCTGGATGCGAAGTCGATGATTTGTGGGTCGGTGGGTCGGAGCGGAGATCCCTGCTCCTGCCGAGCACCCAGTGCACAAGAGTCCAGCCCTGCCCCGGCCCCTCGCCCCGGGCCAGTCAGTGCACCGCCGAGTACTTCATGCGCTTCTGTTTCTGTCTCTGGTTGCAGAACCAAACCCGCACCACGTTTTTTTTCAGGTCCAGTTTCTCTGCGATGGCCGCGATCTTCTCGGACGAGGGTCGGGGCTGGATGGCAAAGTAGGCTTCCAAGGAGCGCTTCTCCGGGGCGGCGATGGAGGTCCGCTTGCGCTTCCTCTCGCTGCCGTTGAACAGCTCGGGCTTGGTGTTTTTCTCCCGGTAGGCAGCTTCAGCCTCCTCCAGCCAGGCTTGCAGCACGGGCTTCAGGGCGATCATGTTGTTGTGGGACAGGGTGAGGGACTCGAACCTGCAGATCGTGCTCTGGCTGAGCGAGCCCACGCCCGGGATCTTGAGGTTGGCCAGGGCCGCCCCCACGTCCGCCTGGGTCACCCCCAGCTTGATCCTCCGCTGCTGGAACCGCTCGGCGAAAGCCTCCAGCTCCCTGGGATCCGACTCCACGTCGTTGATGCAGGGCATGCCGTTGTGGGTCGAGACCGGGTGGGGGTGCCCCATGCCCATGGCTTGGTGCAGGTGCCCCATGGCTCCCAGGTGGTGCGGGTGGATCTGGGCGGACATCACCGTGTGGTCGGGGGCCCCCATGCCGCTCACGGTCAGCGTGGGGGAAATGTGGTCCAGGAGGTCTCCATCCAAGCCTTGGTGCACGGAGTGGTGCGGGTGCGAGGTGAGGGCCGAGGGATGCGAGATGGGCACTGTGGAGGAGGTAGACGTGCATGGGACACTGCTCATGGTATGGTAGGTCGCGTCGGGCTTGAAAGGATGGCTCTTGCCGTGGGAGACAATATCAACAGCCGCCAGAGCTTCTGCACGGGCCAGCAGACTCTCATCAAAGCTTCCAAATATATTGCCCTGGAGCTGCAAGCAAGAATGCGCATATTGGAGTCAGTGGGGAATACTGTCAACTCAGGATTAAAAAACATTTCCAAGCACAGAGATTCCTCCTCAAAGCTCAGGTCATAAAAATTAATATGAAGGCAGAAGCTTTGCTTGAATAGACATGTGGATCAGAGACAAGAGTGAGAGAGGGGAGAGGGGGAGAGAGAGAGAGAGAGAGGTTCAGAGATATGCGATTGTTCTGGCGACATGAAAAAAACATTAAGCAAGTGCCTGTCAAAAAATGTGCCTTAAAGCAGTAATTATGCTTAATCTACATACCTGCGGGGCTGGAAGGCAAACTCTGCGCATCGCCTCTGAACTGGAGTGCAAGCTGGAGTACTTGGGCTCCTGGAGGGCGGCGTGCATAGTGAACGGCTGCTTGGCGTTCATGGCCATCATCTTTGCACACCTTGCAGGTAGGCAGCCCCTGACATAGATTCAGGGTTGTCTCTCTGGCTTGCTCCTGTCAAAGTGAGCTATTTTCAATGACAGAGCTTCCCTCTCCCTCTCTCTCCCTCTCCCTCTCCCTCTCTCGTTCCCCCCACCTGCTTCTTCACTCATCTTACAAGCAGCCTGCCAGGAACGGGACGAGCGCGCTGTGCGCAGGCGCTGCACGAGAAGGAGACGAGGAAAGTAGCCCTGGCAGTCCAAGGCACTTAGGAGCTCAGATGCCTGTGCCAGGGTCCGGCCATGGGAAGGAGGGAGGCATCGGGGTTCTCCACGGGGCTGGGTTTGAAGGCAGGTGTCACCTGAAGCTCCCCCCCGCCCCCAAATAAATGCTTTGCTCGTATTTTTAATGCGAAGTAAAATGGAAGGCAACAGAACATGCCCATTCCGATGCTCTTTGGGCTGGGGGGTCCTGGCCAGGCCGGCAGCAGAGGGCTCAGTGCAGGGAGAGGTGGCTGGCGAAGGGAATTCGCCTTTCCCGGCCATCACAAGGACTCCTGCGAAAACTGGGAGAGACAAGACAACCCGGTGGGGCCACGTCCCCGCCCCACGCAGCCCTCACACCATGCCCACGAGGACGGCGGGCGAGCACCCCCCTGTGCCTCCCTCCGGGGGCTGAACTAGTCACGTCTGTGTGTAAGGAGTGAAGTGCAGGGCCTGGTCTTGTCCCCACGGGACCCAGTGGCCAATCAATCGCCTTGGCTTCAACCAGCCCTCGCACATGGGCTCTGTGAATCGCCCTAGCACCTCTCTGCTGGTCTGGGATCGTGCAGCTCCCCCCTCTCCCAGCGCTCGCCGGAGGAAGGGCTCTGCTAAGTGGAGCGTCCTGCCATGTCAAGTCAGCGGTTTCCAAACTTACTTTTCCAATCCTAGAAGCACTGCAACACAAGGAGAGACATCAATAATGGATGTGATACCAGGTACAGCAGCAGCCTGGCTAAAAGCTACGGCGGGGTGCAGTGCGTGCGGAGGGCTGGAGCCAGCAGGCCGAGAAACCGAGCAAAGCAGGCGGGGGGAGGATCAGCGCTCCGGCTCGGGAGCGGGCAGACACCTGTAGACGGGCGCCGCGCCTGGTGCGCCCCAGCGCTGGGCTCCTGCCCACGTGCACTAAGTGTCGTCGCCTGCGTTTCAGGAGACAAGAAATGGCCCCGGGGGCAAATTCTGTTATTTCTTGTCCTCTCAGACCTGACTTCACCTCTGCACGGGCTGGGGCTCTTTTTTTGGGACCAAGGCAAATCAGGTCACTGTCACCTTTTGGCTCTGGCAGTCTATGGCCAAGTCCCTGGAAGGACTAGTTGCTGAAGTTCACCCTATTTGTCCAGTCAGAGATTTCCAAGGAAGGAAAGGCTGTCACCCTAGGCTTCGCCATGTCCCTACTCCACCTGAGGGGAGCTGATGTGCCAACTTGGAGGGATCGCTGCGTGCGCTGAGCATTGGCATTGCCTAAAATCCGCTAAGGAAATGTTCCCTTTTCTTTCAACTTTCGGAGAAAGTATTGGGGGCGATTCTCCACCTAGGGCGGGGGGCAGGATCGGGCTAGATATGGAGGAAGAGATTACATATATTTCAGGGGGGAAATGGAGCGATTGTTTTTTGTGGTTCCGGACCTGTGGTTTCACAAACCCCTGGGAATCTCAGAAGCCTTAAAGTGGGAGACATCCATCCCGCGAGCCGGGACAGCAGGATAAACCCATGACAGCCTGGTCCGTGTTAGCAAGAGTGCTCCGTGCCCGGGTGCAGGAGGAGCAACTGAACAGAAAGGCCTTGAACACTTGGAGTTTCTGACATTTGCCCCCGTTGTTCAGAGTCAGACCCTCCATGGGATCAGCTGGGAAGAACAGAGCGGGCAGACTGCGGCCGGCTCCCGGGAGCCTGCCCTCGGTGAGCCCTTGCCGGCTAAACCACGGTCCCACCAGCGCCGCTGCCTGCTCTCCATCTAATTAAGGGATCTGCTTTTATGCCCCTGCCCAGAGAAGGCAGAGTAGGCCTTATTATCATTCCTGGCCTTTGGAGTCCAGACAGCTAACACCCCCTCTTCGCTTATGACTTTTAATCTCAAGCGCTATTCGTATTCCGAGCAGCCTCCTTGAACTAGGTGTCACTGAAGTTGCAGCAGGCGGGGAGGGGTGGGGGGCAGGGTTTTCCAGCAGGAAGCACGGCCTCCCTATTAACAATGTTTTGATCCTGCCAAATCTTTCTTCCATCCCCAGTGCCTTGCAACACGAAAAAAAAAAAAAAAACCCAACAAGGCTACATCAAGTTTAATAGATTTGTCCAGAGGGCATCAAAGCAACTCAATTACAAAGAGGAACGTTTCACTGCGAGGACTAGCTTGCTCCTACCAAAATGGTTTGAATTGTAAGCAGGTGGCTGGACGCATGATGGAGTGGGCTCTATGGACGCATGTAGGAACCGACCCTTCGCCAAGGGAAGTAATTGGGCAAACTCCAATCGTCGTTGATGAAAGCAGGTATTAATTCCCTCAGTTTGCAGTGGTATGAGCATCTGGACACTACACCATCCTGCACCCACTTTAAGATAAAATAGGTCCTTCTTCATATGGGCTTTGGCCCTGCCCAATGGGGACTAGACACTATTAAAACAGATCAATAGACAACATATATCCGCTGGTTTTGTACAACCTATTTTGTCTCCAAGCAACCCTCCACTCCTTCCATAAGCATCCCAAAGCAAGAGGAACAGAAGGGTAAGTCTGAATGGTGGTTGCTCGCAGGTGAATATTCATTTACGAGTGGATTCAGCAGTTCTTGCTCAGGCAAGTGTCCCACTGAAACCAGAGCTGCGAGATCAGGCCCCCGGTACGGTGACACTCGCCACACGGCTCCCGGTTACACAAGAGCAGGAAGCAAGCGAGAGGAACAGTTCAGCGGCTGTCAGCATAACCGCAGCGAAGAGCAGGACATTCAGGACTCCCACTAAAAGAGGAGGCACTTCGACGAACTCATGTTAAGCCAAACACGATAAGAAACCTCCTCTCTCTAAATGTAGACCACACATCTCCCAGGCAGACACTGCAGCCCAACCTTCTAGCTCAGACATGCAGGCTCAGGACCACGAGGCCGGCTAAATTCAGTCGAGTATTACTGACACTGCACTTTCTCCGGGGGAGCTGGAATTACTTCGCAAACAGACACTCACCCAGGTTCCTCTCTCCAAGACCGTTTCTGCAGCACATACTACCGGTGTACGGCACAGGAGGATAAACCTAAGCCCAGAGACGTTAAGTGATTTAAACTCCTACAAGCTAGACAGTAAATATTAATTGTGCCATGGGCACATATATATTTAATAGGGTGGAAATACCTGTTCCTTGAGTCTTCATTTATTTTTAATAGTACAGTAAGGAAAAGAAGAGTCCTGATGTAAACATAATTTTACTATTCACTGGTTGGTGCCATGCTTCAACCCTCCAACCGTCTTGAAATATTTCTAGACTTTGGCCAACTTGTACTTCTTGGCGGTTTGGAGGTGGAGATATCTCGACGGCTGTGGGATCTCCGGGCTGTCACAGTCTCAGGCCCTCAGTGCAGGGCAGCCAGAAGTGGGAAGCGGTGTTAAAAAGAAGCGTTTTGTTGGCCTCTTGAAAACAGTACTCAGCCTCCTTTAGTGATCAGAGACAGCAGGAGGTCTGGCTTTGTCTTTAAAGGGTTTCCCCCCACCCCACCCCAGACACTAGCAGCTCCATGACTTTGGGTTTTCCTGCCTTGAGTCCATTCAATGCAGCGAGAGATGCGTGTTGTAGTCCAGTCCACGCTGAGAAAGCAAGAGGAGGGAGCTTCCTGCACACCTTGACACCTCTCCAGTAAGGAGCTACCCGCACACCTTGACACCCCTCCAGTAAGGAGCTACCCGCACACCTTGACACCTCTCCAGTAAGGAGCTACCCGCACACCTTGACACCTCTCCAGCTGTCAGAAGCACTCACGTGGAGAGAAAAAAAAAAGGGGGTGGGTGGGAAAAGCTGAATGAGAGACTCCAGAAAAGCTACCAGAAGCTTTGCACAGCGTGGGGGTTCACGGCTTCAAGCGAACCTAAAGCCTCAGTGGTTTTGTTTCCCAATCCAGCACCCCCCTGCCAGTAGCGGGGTCGGACAGGGGCATTTACGTTTCAGCAGAACCAAGTGGATAAGACGCTGTACACAAGTTGCTCAGCCGTACTTCGCAAAGCGCTTTGAAAAAGAAAGCGGCCCCGAGAGCCGGATGCAAAAGTGTCTGCGGTCCGTGCCAAGGCTCGGAGACAGGCTGGAGAGAAGGGATGTGAAGTCACCTCGGGACCAGCAGAAAGTAAACTCTGGCCACAGCCTAGAGACTGTGGGGGTCCCTCTTTTCAGCTGCATTGGGGCGGGGGAGAAGGCGAGAGGGGACCCGGGGGGAGCAACCCCGTGCAGGCTGCCCAGGGCTGGGCGGGAGAGCGGCGCGGGTTCAGCACCAC